AGGCAATTCTCCTGCCTCAGCCTCCTGAGTAGCTGGGATTACAGGCACGCGTCACCATGCCCAGCTAATTTTTTGTATTTTTAGTAGAGACGGGGTTTCACCGTGTTGACCAGGTTGGTCTCGATCTCTTGACCTCGTGATCCACCCGCCTCGGCCTCCCAAAGTGCTGGGATTACAGGCGTGAGCCACCGCGCCCGGCTCCTGCTTACTTTTAATGGCAAAAACTGCAATTACTTTTGCACCAACCTAAGTGTTAGCTGGGTGTCCACTTGCCAGGCACTGTAATGGGCACCAGGAACACAATGATCAATAGGACTCATGCCTGCCCTTAAGGAGCTGACAGTTTATTGAAAGAAATGTACATAAGACAACACAAATGAATAATACAAGGCAATGTGGAGTGTGTGGTAACAAAGGTACATTTCTGGTATTGTACAGTTTCTTAAAATACAGTTCACAGACCAGTTGCATTAGAGTCATGCCTTAAAATGCAGATTCTAAGGCCTGAGTCTCAACTTTCTGAATCAGAGGCTCTGGGGCTTAGCCTGGGAATCTGCATGTTCACCAGCCAGGTGACACTGATGCATACTAAACATGGATGGATTGCACCTTTTTTATTTAATGGGAAAGGTTTGCAGAAGTTTGAACTACCTTGAAAAATGAGTAGGAGCCCGGGCATGGTGGCTCGCCCCTGTAATCCCAGCACTTTGGGAGGCCGAGGCGGGTGGATCCTTTGCAGTCAGGAGTTTGAGACCAGCCTGGCCAACATGGCAAAACCCAGTCTCTAATAAAATACATTCCTGTAATCCCAGCTACTCAAGAGGCTAAGACAGGAGAATCGCTTGAACCCAGGAGGTGGAGGTTGCAGTGAGCCAAGATCACCTCACTGCACTCCAGCCTGGGCGACAGAGCGAGACTCCATCTCAAAAAATAAATAAATAAAAGAAAAGAAAAAAGAAAAAAAAGAAATGAGTAGGAGCTCTTCCAGTAGCTAGGGTTAGGCTTGTAGTTCTGCCGTTTCCTTGCTACTTTTCACATCAACCTCAACAGCAGATAGCACAAGCTTTCTGCAGGTTACCTCAAATGAGTTTTTAAGTAGTTTATTGACTTTTTGGTGATCAGAGGTAACACGATATATTAGCTGACATCATTTTTCTCTCTCTCCAGGTATGCAGAAACACATCGAGTATATGCTATTGTATTAGTGTCTGCATACACATCAGACTTGGGGGACGAAAATGAGCGTGCAAGTGGTAAGTCTGAAGGTAGAAATTTGACAAAGCCTTTCACTAGACATGGGGCTGTCTGTTCAGGTTGCAAAAACAGTGCTGTCTTTCAGATAGGCTAAAAAACTCTAATAGCATATGAGAAAGATTTACCACCTATCTTGGGATATAAGTTCGCACTTTGATTTCTTCCCAAGCCGTAAGTCTAGAATTGAACCAGAGAGGCCTGGTTTTATTTGAACCATATACCACCTCTTCACAAGTAACTGCGGTATCAGGCCCTACGGATTTGAAAACAAAGGAAGTGCTTCTAACTCACACTTAGGCACTGCTCCTTTGTGTCTCTATGTGGGTCTCCAGTAGGTATTTTAGAATATCTAGAAGGGAGATTATTCATGGGCACTGAAAGGTTATTTTTTTTCCCCATAGGATACTTCAACCGCCCCTGGCAATGGGAGAAGATCAAGGCCAACTGCCCTTACATTGTACAGTTTGGCTCCACTGATGACCCGTTCCTTCCCTGGAAGGAACAACAAGAAGTGGCCGATAGGTTGGAAACCAAATTGCACAAATTCACTGACCGTGGTCACTTTCAGAACACAGAATTTCATGAACTGATTACTGTGGTAAAGTCTTTGCTGAAAGTACCAGCATAGACTGGATGATTTCTGCTATTTTGCATCTCAATATAGGGGTAGAGTAATAATATCTACTATCAGCCGATTACTAGACACACAAAACATCCAGTTAAGTTCCAAAAGTGCCTGAAAAGCAAACACGTTTCAATCTAAGTTACACATGGCATTTCCATTTCCCACAGACTCTTAAAACTCCCCAAATTGCTGTGAACTACAGCAGTATTTTCCTCATTTGATAAGAAACATAAGGACACCTTAACTACCCTTTTCTATCCAACGTAAGTCAGAAACAGAACCCAGGTTTCCTGATTCCCACTCCCGAGTAAAACTAAATAATAGTTTTTATCTATGTTGAAGGTATTGCATTCTTTTCCTCTTTGAAATCAAACTTTTCTATTTCACTGGGGAAAGAAAACATGACTGAAAGTCCAGAGTTTAGCTTAGAGCTCAAAATACTAGCTGCTGTTTCAAGCTGGCTCAGGGCCTTAAACCCAGACCAGGGCCTTCACCTTTGACACTTGCCCCGGAGTTGTTCAGACATGTTGAGAGAGACTGAGACAGGAGTCTTCCAGAGTCAGGCAGGAAGGAGAAGCACAGCAATATACATACATAAATATACATACAACTAACTAGATCTGTTTAAGACAAGAGTGGTGGGACCAAGGCCATGTGGAGAGCTCGTGGCCTGTCTCAATTGTTGCCATGTGGAACTGGGGCAGAGTGTTGCCAGTTTTCTGATTTTGTGTGTCTGTATGTGGAAAAAATCTCCAAATTATGGTTTTAAAATTTGGGGAATATACATACACACACACATACATGCATATATACATACATACACACAATCCATATACATATGGATTATGTTAGTTGGCAACAACAGTACATATCGAAAAATTTACAAACTGCAAGACAAATAAAATCCAAGTTATCCATTCGTGACCATTGTCATAAGCAATAACCTGGCCAGGGGCTTTTAGATAATTGTGACGTCTGAGAAAAGACAAAGATAACCAAAATGAACATAATGTCAAAGGACAAAATCATGGGGACAATTTGGATTTTGTTCTAAAGTCAAGTGTTTTTCAAAAGAACCTTTCCATACTTCATGTTCTGTTCTATAGAGTTAAACCTTTTAGCTTCTATGGTCCTTTGGATCTCTTCCTTGCACATTCCATTTTTCTTCTGATCATACTTCTTCAAAAAACCCTTTTTTGGCTGGGTGTGGTGGCTCATGCCTCTAATGCCAGCACTATGGGAGGCTGAGGTGGTTGTATTGCTTGAGGCCAGCAAGGGCAACATAGTAAAACCCCATCTCTACAAAATATTAAAAAATTAGCTGGAGGCTGGGCGCGGTGGCTCACGCCTGTAATCCCAGCACTTTGGGAGGCCGAGGCAGGTGGATCACGAGGTCAAGAGATCGAGACCATCCTGGTCAACATGGTGAAACCCCGTCTCTACTAAAACTACAAAAAATTAGCTGGGCATGGTGGCGCGTGCCTGTAGTCCCAGCTACTCAGGAGGCTGAGGCAGGAGAATTGCTTGAACCCAGGAGGCGGAGGTTGCGATGAGCCGAGATCACGCCATTGCACTCCAGCCTGGGTAACAAGAGCGAAACTCCGTCTCCAAAAAAAAAAAAAAAAAAATTAGCTGGGTGTGGTAGTGTACACCTGTAGTCCTAGCTACTTGGAAGGCTGAGGCAGGATTGCTTGAGCCCAGGAGTTTGAGGCTTCCGTGAGCTATGATCTTGCTGCTGTACTCCATCCTGTGTGATGGAGCTAAGAACCTGTCTCTTAAAAAAATAATAATAATAATTAAAAGAATACCCTTTTTCATTTCCCAACATTGTTTGGCTAGTATGATCTCTAAGTGTTCCTTCAAATAATTTCCAGTGACACCACACTTGATGTTGCAGAGCCTAAGTTTGCTGCAGAAATATAATTTCCTATACTTCATGCCAAAAGGAGATTCAGAGTGATCACTTAAACGAAAAATCTTGGTTTTTAAATGTGCTTAGACAAAAAAATCAGCAAAGGTACTCTAAACATTTAACAGCAATCACCTTTGGGGAATGGGCATTTTAGTAGGTACAGAGTGGTAGACGTCCTTATTTTACTCTCTCCACCTGAGAAATTATTTGAATTTGTTACACTAAACATGTATTTTCTAATCAAAAATAATTAAGATTTAAAACAACGTATTTGGCTACTAAAAAGCAAATTATGTATGTCAGTTGAATAATTATGTTGTTAAAGAGGCTGTTTAGCACTAATGTGACCAAATCTATAGTCAAAGTTTGATTTTACTTGAATTTTTTGGAAATTTGTTATTGGCATTACTTACTCTCTGCCTTGTTCTTTGTGAAGTCCTTTCCTAAAAAAACAAACTTATACAATTTAGTTCACAAAATTTTGTTGACCTCTTCCTCTGTAGAAGTGAAAACCAAATACATATAATTGAAAAATAATTCTGATATCTTCATTCCTATAAATTAAGATAGACCTATAAGATTGTTGAGCTTTGCTACCAAATATAGTAACCAGTAACCACAGTTAACTGTAAAATTGAAAATTCAGTTCAGCCAAACTAGCCATATTTCAAGTGCTCAGCAGCCACTGGTGGCTACTGGCTACCATATTGACCAGCCAATATAGGCTATTTCCATCATTATAGAAAGCTCTATTGGACAGTACTGGTCTAGGACATATATTTTATATTTTCCCCTCACCCACCATCCAATAATGAGTAATAGTTCAAAGTGAAAGTGACTTAATTTGAAATTACTTCTTTTTGGCTAGTTTGCTTAGCTGATCACCAGGAACATCGTAGGTCTATAAAATTTACTAAATCGCCAAACTAAGATTAGGGACATTTCATGGGAGAATCCAGACAAACTATTCATTAAAAACCACAGAGTCATGGACTGTCATGATTTCTGTTTTGATTCTTTGTGGTCATCATTGAGTATACATGGGCATCTACATACACTGGGGAGTATCTATTCTCAGGTGAGCAAAATACCAAATAACGAATGGAAACCAACTGTAGCTATTAGACTTCATATGCAATTTGATTTTTTGGTGCTGTCAAGAGTCTAGAGTCCCACAGTTTGTTTTGGTTACAGTTTATCCCTAGGATAAATGATCCATTTAACTATTCATCAGAGGTGCTGTATTTTTTAATTGTCTCTTGTCTCCAGTTAATTTTCAGAATTAAAAACATGCCATGGGAAAAAGTTTAAAGGTTCTCTTTATTGGTAAGGCAAGGAATACTTTTGTTTTAGCCATTGAATGTTAAGCTCTAAAAACCAATCTTTAGCTATAAAGACCTGAGACAAAGCCTATATTTAAAACATAAGCTGGTTTCGTCTCATTTCTAGCTCTCTTCCAAGTTCATTTTTCTTACTAAATAAAACTAGTACTTTTTGATAGGCCAAGTCCCAGGAAGGACAGACATTGTTCTTAACCATTCCAACTCTCACCGAGGGTGGAGGAGAAACCCTCTGTAGTTTCAGGTTCCCAGATCCTTTACATATACATATATTTATTTTACTGTCCAGAGGTCATTTTTTAAAAACACCTATTATACCATGAATATATAGGGAAGAGGTTCCGGCAACTCAGTCTCCTTCCCATTGGTTCTCACAAAGTGTGCTCTTCAGGGTGGAGCAGGCTGGTGCTTCAGTTGAACCCAGGCACTTTTTTTTTTTTTTTTTTTTTTGAGACGGAGTCTTGCTCTGTCTCCAGGCTGGAGTGCAGTGGCGCAATCTCGGCTCACTGCAACCTCTGCGTCCTGGGTTCAAGCGATTCTTCTGCTTCAGCCTCCCAAGCAGCTGAACTACAGGTGTGTGCCACCAGGCCCAGCTGATTTTTGTATTTTTAGTAGAGCCAGGGTTTAACCATGTTAGCCAGGATGGTTTCGATCTCTTGATCTCATGATCCGCCCGCCTAGGCCTCCCAAAGTGCTGGGATTACAGGTGTGAGCCACTGCACCTGATGAACCCAGGTACCTTTCTTTTTGGCTTCTTTTTCTGATCATTTTCCTTCCTGCCTTTCAGAAAGCTCTCTCAGCTCTTAGAGTGCTTAATATGCACATTAATTCTCTTGGCAAGAATCTTGCCCTTGTTTGTTTACAACAATGCCAACGGCATGTAGACTCTTCCAGTTTTGCCATGGTAACACTTGTGGGGTATTCCTTTTTGAACAGTACCCATTCCCTTGATGTCTACAATATCACCTTTCTTATGGAGTCGCATATAGGTGGCCAAAGGAACAACTCCATGTTTTCTAAAAGGCCTAGAGAATATATATTGGGTGCCTCCCCTCTTTCCCTTTGTGTTCTTCATTTTGGTGAATTACTGGAAGATGGTGGTTCTGGCTGAAGGACTATGTATCTTATATATGTATATATATATTTAATACTTGAAATTATTGTTACAAATAGCTAGTGTCATCAAGTGCTAATTCTATAGAGCTGGCCACAAAATATATCCGACAAAAATTGGTTACTGAGCTGAATTTTATTTTACTGATACCACTTATCTTAAAATAACTCTTCTGACGTCCACTTAGAACATCTCCAAACTGGTGTCAGAACCCAATCCTCAGTACTAGTGGAGCTTGAATTCCTTTCCAGGGTCCCATGTTTTTGGCTTGGATACAGAAACTTCTAAGAGGAGCTACAAAGTGAAAATATGAGAGCTGAAATTCTAAAAAGCCCTACAGCCAACATCTGTGCAACAATACATCAGATAACCTAGTGTTTTCCTATGTGGCTGACGATAGGAACTGAGAGTGCTATTAGAAATCAGGACAATTATAATGGCTTTCTGTGTAGACATATCATACCATGATTTTTAGAACAGAATAAGGAAGGGAAATAAATCTAAAGCAGAGTAAGAAAAGAAAAATGTTACTCCCTCTCAAAGTGTGAATGGAAGGCATGTGAATAGTTTTAGTTAATGCTGTAACAGAATACCATACACTGGCGGTTTATCAATAATAGAAATTTATTTCTCACAATTTTGGAGGCTGGGAAGTCCAAGATCAAGGGGCTTAAAGATTTGTTTTCTGGTGAGGACCCACTTCCTGGTTCGCAGATGGCTGTCTTCTCTCTCTCATGTTGCAGAAGGGGTGATGGAGCTCTCTGGGTCTCTATACATGCGCTAATCCCACTCATGAGGGCTCTTACTCTCCTGACCTATTACTTCCCAAAGCCCTACCTCCAAATACAATCACACTGGAAATGAGATATCAACATTAGAATTTTGGGGGCACACAAATATTCGTCTGTTGCAGACAAATAAGAATCTAGGGAAAATTCTAGCAAAGAATACATCTGAATTACAGAGTGAAACATAAGACTTTAAGAAAGAAGGAACAGTGAAAATATTCTTTAGGATGAAAATGATATTTATGTACTGAAAATATATCCTTGACAGTAGTCATCGGGTTTGAAGTAAATATGGTAGCATAATCTAAAAGAATATTTCTGATATAAAAGGAATTAATAATGTGTGGAAAAGGCATGTTCCACTCTCCCCTAGTCAAGTCATACCCCAAGTCTGCATACACTCCTTTGCTATTCCTGCCTTTAACCACTTTTAATTTCTTTTCAATGAAACCACTGAGAAAGTAGAAAACAGAAATGGTGATAGTGAACCAGATATTAAAAAAAGTTCCAATGAAGAACTTAATAAATAACTTTTAAAAGGATATTTTTACACTCTAGCCGTTATCATAGTACTTGGTAAATATAGGTATGTTGGCATCTTTTTCCTTGACCCATCAGAAGTCTTGAAAGATGTGGTCCTCCAGAGTTTCAAAGTGTTTTATTTTTTGAAGAATGAATTTCACTACTAACCTTATTTCTTTCATATTCTACTGGCTACTTTACCAATATAAATTCAGTCTTCATAAATAAAAAAATATATTTTCATAGCTGCAAGTCTATATCCATTATTGTGAAGTTTGCTTTCAAGGAGATTTGATGTTCCATCATGAATTAAATTATCTGCTCTCAAAGTAACTTCATTTGCAAAAGGTCAGTAAAGTTCATAGCTCTCTATTAAAATTCGAGCCACTCTGTCATGTAAATACAATTAGATGGTGAAATTTCACCACCTTCATGGCAGTCATCAAAAACCTTTAAAAGAGAAAAAAATTATATTCAAACTAAAGTTTTAAAATATCTAAGACCCAACCACTTATCTAAAGCAAAATTTAAAACAAAACTTTCAAATTGAAAGGGATTAGGCCTGTATTTAAGAACATACTATAATAGGGCCTGCTCTTTGTGATCATCAAGTTAGGAGAAGTTAGTAGAGATGCCTTTTACTGTGGCATTAAGATGACCATGCTCACCTGTCCACTGGGCAAAAGGCTATCAGCAGGTAACAGAGGGATACAGGAAGGGAGATCTATACATATGAATGACTTAATTTTGATTAACCGAATGTTTTATGTTTAGCTACCTTTCTGTGAAGGGTGCAAAATATAATTCCTAGTATGTTAGCCTTTTGTCTAGGGATTGAAACCAGGGCATAGAGAGCTTGGACAGATTCTGGTATAATGAAATAAAACAGGCCGGGCACGGTGGCTCAAGCCTGTAATCCCAGCACTGTGGGAGGCCGAGGCGGGTGGATCACGAGGTCAAGAGATCGAGACCATCCTGGTCAACATGGTGAAACCCCGTCTCTACTAAAAATACAAAAAATTAGCTGGGCATGGTGGTGCGTGCCTGTAATCCCAGCTATTCAGGAGGCTGAGGCAGGAGAATTGCCTGAACCCGGGAGGCGGAGGTTGCGGTGAGCCGAGATCATGCCACTGCAGTCCACCTGGGTGACAGAGCAAGACATCGTCTCAAAAAAAAAAAAAAAAAAAAAAAAAAAAGAAATAAAACACACACAGGCTCATGACTATAAATGCCATGAGGACTGGGACAGTATCTCTTGCCCTCTATCCTTAGTGCCTAGAGCACAGAGTTGGCACTTATAAAAGCTGGGAATGAATAAAGGAGGAGTGTTGGGACATGCTGCAGGGGAAAGACACCATCCTTGGGTTTGAACCCAGTTAATTCTAAGCTGTATGCCACTAGGTCTTCCTAAACCTAAGCTGCTTCACTTTTAAGGGAAAATAACACCATTAGCTTCAAGAATGTAAGGAGGATTGATGAGACCACGCATGGAAATCATCAAGGATACTCTGGCCCAAGGTAGGTTCTTAACAAATCTCATTTTCTGCCCTATTTAGGTGAAATGATTAGCCCTCATCAAAGTGTCCATTTCAAGGCCAAGAGCAGAAAACGCAAATATCCTTAACGTCGTTATTCCAAGAAGGAATATAAAGCAGGGGGCCAGGTGTGGTGGCTCATGCCTGTAATTCCAGCACTTTGGGAGGCCGAGGCAGGCAGATCACCTAAGGTCAGGAGTTCGAGACCAGCCTGACCAACATGGTGAAACGCTGTCTCCACCAAAAATACAAAAGATATGCTGGTCATAGTGGTGGGTGCCTGTAAACCCAGGTACTTGGGAGACCTGAGGTGGGAGAGTTGTCTGAACCAGGGAGGTGGAGGCTGCAGTGTGCCACTGTACTCCAGCCTGGGGGATAGAATGAGACTCTGTTTCAAAAAAAAAAAAAAAAAAAAAGGGAATGATGTAAAGCAATGATTTGTTCATTAAAGGTCTGTTCAGCAAGGTTTCGTGGAGGTTTGAACAGCTCTTGGTCAACCGTAAGTCTGAGAAAATGGGTCTGCTTGCTCTATTTCTTAATGTGGCACTTGTACCCTGGGGCAGTCAAGTGTAAAGTAAAGCCACTTGAACTCACCGGGCAGAGTCCACAGGGTGCCCGGACCAAACCCGTGGGCGGGATGATTGGATTGACTGCCCTGTACAGTTTCATGTGTCCGTCTACACTGCCAACTGTGCCTTCTTTTGCAGCAATGATTGTCATCTCCACTTTCCCATCATAAATTAGTGTATTCAGGATGGTTTCAATGTCCTCCATGGATAACTCTACCTAAAAAAGGGATACATTAGAAAGGATACAAATAGGACAGGGAGACATCCACTTGGAGGGTGTTAAAAACAGTAAAGGGTTGCCAGGTGTAGTGGCTCACGACTGTTAACTGCAACACTCTGGGAGGCCGAGGTGGGTAGATCACCTGAGGTCAGGAGTTCGAGACCAGCCAGGCCAACATGGCAAAACCCCATCTCTACCAAAAATACAAAAATTAGCTGGGCATGGTGGCGGGTGCTTGTAATCCCAGCTACTTGGGAGGCTGAGGCAGAAGAATGCCTTGAACCTGGCAGGCAGGGGTTGCAGTGAGATGAGATTGTGCCATTGCATTTCAGCCTGGGCAACAAGAGCAAAACTCTGTCTCAAATAAACAGTAAAGGGTCACAATTCTGTTGTGAAATGTAAGAAACATTATGCTAGGCTGGAGTAATTAAAAGCACAAAGAGGAGTGACAATAGTCCAAGTTAGCACAAACCACTGAAATGCTTGGGACAGAACTCCAAGCTCATGCTGCTGTGTTTGACACGTTCCGATATTTTTACTTTCTAAGTAAAATCCAGAAGTCTCATAAAAAAGTAACATTTCTTTAGCAGCAATTTGGTGGAGAATTATAAAATGCTTCAGCAAAAGGGCACTTTAGATATCAAATAGTCCAAGTTCCTAGTTTTTATAAATGAGAAATGTGAGGCCTCGGAAATTAAAATGAGATGTCCAAATGGCCACTTTGATTTCTTCACTGTGAAAGCATTGGTGTCCTTAAAAAAAAAAATTCAAAGGGTACAGTGGCTCATGCCTATAATCCCAGCACTTTGGGAGGCCAGTAGTTCAAAACCAGCCTAAGCAACAAAATGAGACCCTATCTCAACAAAAAAATTTAGCTGGGCATGGTGGTGTACACCTATAGTCTCAGCTAATTGGGAGGCTGAGGCGGGAGGATCATTTGAGCCT